GAAGAAGTTAGTTTCTTCTGATAAGAGGGCAATAAATTCTTTTTCTCTGAAAGATTTAGGTGCCCTGTGGCTGCTATCTCGCTGCAAGTCCTTTCTTTAAAAAAAGTATCCTACATAGCATAGTTTCTATTTTAACAATTTTTATAACCTAAAACTATATTTAACACAGTATTTAAGAGAATTAATACAGCATTACTTTCTAACACAACACATATAATATTCATTTTAATATTTGTGAAAAGCCAATCATAAAATACATGCATTTTTCACAAGAAGCTGCCCCCATGTCCAACAGCTACTTAGTTTCAGCCAGCTCCAAGATGGACCCACCACTGGTAAAAGCTGAGCCAGTCAGCAATATTGCTAGCGCCTCTGTGATAACCTATTTGAAGAAGGATTAAAAAAAATAGCTGTGCAACAGCAGCTGGAGAGAGATGAGTGAGAATATGAGGGAGAAACAACCTTGCAGACACCAAGGTCAGGGAAGAAGGAGGGGGAGGAGGTGCTCCAGGCACTGGAGCTGAGATTCCCCTGCTGCCTGAGGTGAAGACCATGGTGATGCAGGTTGTTCCCCTGCAACCCATGGAGGTCCACGGTGGAGCAGATGCCCATCCTGCACCCTGGGGAAGACCCCATGCCAGAGCAGTTGATGTGCCCTGAAGGAAGCTACAGCCTGTAGATAGTTGAAACAGGAATAGGCTCCTAGCAGGACCTGTCGCTCTGTGGAGAGGAGCCCACACAAAAGTAGGTTTTCTGGCAGGACCTATGACCCCATGGGGGATCCAAGATGGAGAAGTTTATGAAGAACTGCAGCCCATGGGAAGGACACGCATTGGAGAAGGTTGTGGCTTGGGAGCCTGGTATGCATGTGTCTCTAAAGGTAGGGCACCTGGAGGAATTGGCTACTGGGGGGACCAGAGGGTCCAAGACAACTGCCAATGAGACTGTGGGCTCTGGGAGTGGAATAAGAAACTCATTTATGTGTGTGTTTCTGTGAGGGGCAGCTGGGGAGACTGAGGGGACCTAGGGGCCAGCTACTATGTAGATCAAGAGTAGCTACTATATAGATCAAGTGTCTAAGCCCAGCTAGTGTGTGCATGTGAGAGGGGGTCTGTACTAGCAACTGGAGTGGGGCTATGAGCCTTGGAGGCTCATATGCCCAGGTGCGAGCAACTAGGGAGACATGGGGATCCAGGGGCCAGATACTAGATAGACTGAGTGTCTAAATCCAGTTACTGGATGGATCCACATTGCATATACATATATATTTCCCACTAATGAACCTTCACCCTGATCAGCCAGAGAGGGGAACAGGATAAGGTCATTGTTGCTGTTTGTCTGAGTGCTGTGTTTCCATCTGTGTTCTGTGTTGTTGGCCATATGTATATGTACACTATATATGTATTTGTGTACCTACTGGGAATACATTCTCAGCCTTGCTACTGGTTGGATCTGGGAATATTGAGTTGTGGCAGACTTGTTTCTATGGTGCTGCTAGATTTGGCAATTCCCTAACAAGCAATCAGGATGTTTCCCATCTTGATTGAACTACTGAGCACTATAGAGTGTGTACCACTGAAAAGGCCTGATGGCTTTCAGGTCACAGCAGGTTATTCAATTAGTTAACCAGAACAATACTGCAAACTGGTAGACCTGTACCACCAAATATGGGAAATGCTGGCCCTATCTATTTAGTTTTTATCCCCATCCTAATGCCAAGCACAAGCATGACAATTAAAGTAAAAGGTTTTATGGGTTTTTGTTTATTTTTCAGGTTTGATAACTTATCACTAGGACAGTGTCTAATTACTGCCTGCTAGCTCTTGAGTTGGTAATTATTAATCAATATCAACCAACTTCAAACATGAACAATACAATATTTTTCAAAACCTGACTACAGATGGTTTTTAACTATCTGCATTAACCTTCAAGTCTGACACTTTTCAAGACATAGCTATGCATGTAAATAAGAAATTCTTCAGTCTTGGTAGCTCATTATACTAGAAGAATCCTTAATACTTCTTATAGGTACTGGTGAAGGCCTGTTAAGTAAGACCTTTTAGTTGCACTCTAGTATTTTGCACAAGTAATCAACACACTGAAGAATCATTATAATTATTTTGGTGTTGAAGGAAAAAGGGCTAAGTAAAACCAGAAGGGGATAAGTGACTTGCTAGTGCCAAAATGGCTGCATAGTTACTGCTTACTTTGAACTAAAATAAGGCCAAATTTTTAAAAAGCACAAAGCTAATTGAACTACTTAACAAAATACACTAAAATTTGAAGTGAACTCTTCCTCTCTCCCTCACCCCCCCCCCCGTAACTTTAACCTGTTTCTCCACAGATCACTCTGCATACAACCAATAGTTACCACAAGCTCACAGGTTTATATTTCACAGAATCATATAATTGCTATGGTTGGAAAAGACTTCTAAGATCATCAAGTCCAGCCTTCTTGATTGTATGATTTCATCAGAAATTAAATATAATAAAGGAAATTTTGTTTTTATTTTCCAAGATATATATCTTTGCTTCCATTTGGTCTCAATTTCCAAAAAATACCCTCACAACTGATAGGAACTGAACGAGATCAAAGCAGAGGCTAACAAGTGTGATATTGTGGCAGGAGTCTGTTACAGACAGGGTAAGGAGGCAGACAAAGCCTTCTTAAAGCAACTTGAGGAAGTCTACCAACCACAGATCAAGGGCAAGAAGAGCTTCTACTACCACTTTAATAGTAAAAGACTGAACAAGAAGTTGGGCCTATTGCTCAATGGGATGGGTGATCTAGTGACAGTGGACATAGATGAGGCTGAGGCACTCAACGCCTTCTCAGCCTCAAATCCTCACTGGTGGTCTCCCAGGCCTCTGTTCTTAGAGACAGGGGCTATTCTCTTAGCTTTGAAAAGTCATGAAGTTCAGGGGAATTCCCTGATGACTAGAGAAGGAAAAATGTTGCATTCATCTTAAAACAAACAAACAAAACCAAAGTTTCAACCCAGGGAACTTCAGTTCCTTGGAAAATCATAAAGTCCTCTTGGAACATAATTTGAGCACGTGAAGGAGGTGCTGATTTGGAACAGTCAGCATGCATTTACCAAGGGACTATCATGCCTGAACAACCTAATTGCCTTCTGTCATAAAATGTCAGGATTTGTGGATGGAGAGCATTGGATGCCATTTACCTTGACTTTAGCAGGGCTTTCAATACTGTATCCTCCAATATTCTCCTATCCAAGTTGAGATATTATAGTCTGGATGGGTAGACAACTAGATGGGTTTAAAAACTAGTTGCATGACTGAGCTCAGAGTGGTGGTTAATGGGTTGCAGTCTGCTGGGATGCCTGTGACTAGTGGGGCACTGCAGGAGTCTATTCTGGGACCTGTCCTGTTTAAAATCTTATCAAACACCTGGAGGAGGTGATGCCTCTTCCTCTTGACAAGTTTGCAGGAGTTGGGAGGATGAAGTAAATACACTCAAGGGCAGGATCTAGACAGATTGGAGAAATGGGCTGACCCAAACTTAATTTAATTCAACAAGGACAAATGTCAAGTCCTGCACCTAGGGAAGAAGAACCCCTGACATCAATACCATCTGCAGACTGGCTGGGGAGCAGCTCCGCTGAAAAGGACCTGATGATCTTGGAAAACAGCATGCTGAATATGAGCTAGACCCATGCCTTGGCAACAAAGGTGGTTAGCTATATCCTGAGCTATATTACCAGGACCACAGCTAGTAGATTGGGGGAAGTGATTATCCTCCTTTACTCAGTGCTCATTAGATCACATCTAAAATGATGTGTCAAATTTTGGGCACCCCAATACAAGAAAGTAAGTGATAAAGAGGATCAGCAGAGGGCCACCAAGATGTCAGGGTGATGGAGTATTTGCACAATGAGGAGAGGCTGAGGGAACTGTGCTTGTTCAGCCTGGAGGAAGGAAGGCTACAGGAGCACCTAATAGAAGGCTATCAAGACAGAGCCAGGCTCTTCACAGTGTTGTATAGTGGGAAGATGACACAATAGGCACAAATTGAAACAAGCAAGATTCATACTGACTATAAGGAAACTGGTTTTCACCATGAGGACAGTCAAGCAGTGGAACAGGGACCCTGAGAAGTTGTGCAGTCTCCAGTCTTGGAGGTTTTCAAGTCCTGACCAGAGGAAACCCTGAGCAAACTGGTCTGACTTAGGTGTTGACCCTACTTTAAGCAAGAAGGTTGGACTAGACACCTCCAGAAGTCCCTTCCAACCTGAATTGTTAATTGTTCTCTTTTCTTTTTCTGGTCTTCTAGCCTGAGAAGAGGCTCTCTGAAAATAAGTGGAACAGCCAAAAGTAAAGACACCTAAACACAATGTTGAGTTTGGAAGGCAGCAGCCACTTCATTCTCTTGTTTAGCCTTAGCCTTTTCCCAGTGCCTGCATCAGGAACAATGCAGGGATTTAGAGAAGCATTCTGAGTGTTTGTGTACTGAGCAGGATCAGGCTTTCAAGCTCTGCCACTAGCTCCTCGGCAGCAGCTACTGGAGAGCTCACTGCCTGCATGGATGAGAGAAAGTGATCAAGGGATCAGCAGCTAGGATTCCAGGCGGCTTGCAGAAAATTGCCGCGTGCTACTGTTATTCTCCCTACTCATGTCCAGTCGTCACCTACTGCGCAGCATGGCGGAACGTTTCTCCAGCGTTTCCCCCTGAGTAGCGTGTCCCAAGACGCCACTCCCAGTCCGGAGCGCGGGGACGAATTGATGCAGCCCGGCTACCGTACACCACCACCTCCCTGCCTTTTCCGGGTGCTCCCCACCCCTCTCCACGCTGCCTTGATAGTCTAGGACGTTCATGCTCCAGAGGCAGCAGCGGTCTAGCCCAGCGCGACCTTCACCACCGACGGGACTCCTTATGATAGAGGAATAAGAGACGAGAGAGAGAGGCTGCACAAGGTGGTCCCGCCGCAGTGGAGAGAGAGAGATGCGAGCAGTAGTACACCCTCTCCCCAGTGACTCACCTGTTCCGTCTTCCATACCACCTGAAAACGCAATTTGGAGATAAAAGTTGCCACTGCCGCCGACCAAACTGGATACTGCGTTCACCACCTCACATTTTCGATGACGTAGCAAGTGCAGCACGGAAACACGACTCGCGTCAACTACACGTGACCAGGAAAAAGCGCAGCTGGGAGGAGTAAACTCCACCCCGTCTCCCTTTTCCTCAGCTAATCACAGAGCTGCCCGGATACGACCTCGCTCTAGAAGGTCATTGTGAGCGTCGTAAATACTCCTCATGCTTGGTGAGCTGCGCTTGTGATAGAATACATAGCAGGGTAAAATGTGCTGCACAGTAGCAGCTGGGAGAGAGAGGAGTGAAAAAGGGTGAGAGAAACAACTCTGCAGACACCAAGGTCAGTGAAAAAGGAGGGGAAGGATGCGCTCCAGGCACTGGAGCACAGATTCCCTTGAAGTCCGTGGCAAAGACCATATTGTCCCACTGCAGCCCATGGACCCATGGAGGCCCACGGCAGAGCAGAGATCCACCTGCAGCCTGAGGACGACCCCACACCAAAGTGAATGGGCCCTAAAAGAAGCTCTGACCCCATGGGAGAATCCATGCAGGACTGGGCTCTTGGGAGGAACTGTGGTCTGTGGAGAGGAGCCCATGTAAGAGCAGGTTTTCTGTCAGGACCTGTGACCCTGTGGGGGATCCATGCAGGATCAGTCAGCTCCTGAAGGATTGTACCTCCTGGAAAGGACCTATGCTGGAGTGGTTTGTGAAGAACTGCAGCCCGTGGGAACAACTCACATTGAAGAAGTCCCTGAAGGACTATATCCCGTGGGAGGGACCCCATGCTGGAGTCGGGGAAGAGTGTGAGGAGGAAGGAGCTGCAGAGGCAAAACATGAACTGACTGCAGCCCCCATTCTCCATCACCCTGTGCTGCTTGGCAGGGGAGGGGGAGGTGTAAAAGAGCCAGGAGTGAAGCTGAGCCTTGGAAGAAGGGAGAAGTAGGGGGAAGGTGGTTTTAGATTTGTTCTTATTTCTCATTATCCTGCTCTGTTACAATTAATTGACAGTAAATTCAGTTATTTTCCCCATGTTGAGTCTGTTTTGCCTGTAATTGGCAGGTAATCTCCCAGTCCTTATCTCTCTCTCTCTTCTCCAGGATGAACAGGCCTAGCTCTCTCAGCCTCTCCTTGGATGTCACATTCTCCAGCCCCCGACCAGCTTGGTGGACCTCTGCTAGGCTTGTTCCAGTATGTCACTATCCTTCTTGTACTGGGGAGCTCAAAACTGGACACAGTACTGCAGATGCAGTCTCACAAGTGCTGAATAAGGGGAAAGGATCACTTCCCTGGACCTGCTGGCTACACTTTTGCTAATACAGCTCAAGATGCAGTTAGTCATCTTTGCTGCAAGGGCACTCTGCTGACATCATCAACTTGTCCACCAGGACCCCCAAATCCTCTTTTGGGGAGCTGCTTCCCAGACAGTTGGTCTCTGTCTTGTATTGTTGCATAGGGTTATTTCATCCCAGATGCAGGACTTTGGATCTGATTGTGTTGAGCTTCATGAGGTTCCAGTCATCCCATTTCTCCAGGTCCCTCTGAATGGCAGCCCTGATCTCCAGCATGCTGACTACTCCCCCAATTTGGTGTCATCTACAAACTTGCTGATAATGCGCTCCATCCCATTGTCCAGATCATTAATGAAGACATTAAATGCCAGTACTGGTCCCAGTACTGATCCCTGAGGGACCCCACTAGTTACTGGCCCCCAGCTGGGATTTGCACCACCAGTCACAATTCTTGGAGCTCAGCAGTCCAGCTAATTTTCCATCTACCTTATGCCCATATCCCAACAATTTAGAGATAAGACTATAGGAAACTGCATCAAGGGCCTTGCTAAAATCAAGGTATAAAACATCCACTGCCTTCTGCTTTTCCACAGTGCCAGTTGCTTCATTACAGAAAGCAATGAAATTGGTCAGGCATGATTTGCCCCTGCTGAAACCATGTTGGCTGCTCCCAGTCACCTTCTTATCTTTCATCTCTTTAGAAATGGCCTCTAAGAGGATTTTCTCCATAATCTTCCTGGGAAAAGAGGGTAAGGCTGACCAGCCTGTAGTTCTCTGGATCCTCTTTCTTGTCCTTTCTGAAAATAGAAGTGATGTTTGGCCTGTTCCAGCCATCAGGAACCTCCCCCAACTGCCATAGCCTTTCAAAGATGATAGACAGTGGCCTCCAAATTATATTGGTGAGCTCCTTCAGCATGCTTGGATGCATCCCATCTGGTCCCATAGACTCATATACATCCAATTGGCTTGGAGAGAGCAGGCCTTACCAGTTAAAACTGAAGCAAAAAAGCACTGAGTAACTTGGATTTCACAATGTACTTTATCGCTGGGTCCCCTGCCCCACTGAGCAATGGGCGCACTGTGAAAAGAAGTACAAACTTAGGTCATTTAATAGGATGAACCTTACCCTAGTTTCAGTGAGCTTTCCAAGAACTTAAGGAGGGAAGACATTGAAGCACAAAAGCTCAGCTAGTTATGACAACCTTGCCTGACAATAAACCTGTTCTAAACTGGTTCTGAGCATGTAACAAAGGATGAAAACTAGCCCAGACCATTGTCTCTCATCACACAGCCGCACAAAGGATCAGCCCACTGTAGATAAGCTTAGGACTGTAACTGGGTGATAGTCCATTTGTATATTCTATATAACCTGTGTGTTACTTATGATTAGGGCCCCTCAGAACTAGGCTGGGTCACTGCATGCACATTGCAGTAAAGTATTTCCTTTTGCAATTCTGTACTTAAGGGTGTCTGCATCTCCTTCTTTTTTTAGCAATAAAGAATCCTGCAACAGTTTTGGCACCCCAGAAGGGACTTGGGCAACTCACTTGGCTACACCAGCCACTACGATCCCCTGTGAGTCAATGACCCACTGATGGCAAAAGGTGAGTTCACCTGGGGAACTTGAGTGCAGGGGATACCATTTGGACGGATCATTTTTTTGCAGCAAGGAGGTGAGAATTAATAATAATGAGGACCAGACACAGTATAGTGAAAGGTTCACCTTTACGTGAATTGCTAACCAGTTGGGTGAAAATAGATGGAACCTGTGGGTTATCTAAGAAAAGAGCACTGGAACTGTATCCGAATACCTGGCCCACATTGACTTCCAATTGGTGGAATTGCAAACCAACCGTGGCCTGAGGTGGGCAGTTTTGATTATAATAGGCTGTATTTTTTTGCAGCTCAAATTGGAAGAACAGTTCCCAGGGCAAATGCATTATTGGTATATTTGAAATAGTTATGTCTGGCAATGGAAACTTCCCCCTCCAAAAGGGAACCAATCTCATGGTTCCTGTCAGAATGGGGAATTTGTTCAAACCTCTCTCCTGAAATCCCTTTCTACACCCATTAATGCTCCTCCTTCCCCTGTAATGTTGCAGAAAAGAGTCCAAGATGCAGGCAGGGGTAGTGAGAAGATAGAAGCATCCATGCGGGTACTCAGGGGATCTGCAAATGTGGTTGTGCACGTGTGCTTTCAGTAGTGAATTTAGATCCCTTCCAGCTCTCTGTGTTTATGTTTTATTTGAATCCTAGTTTGTGTGTGATGTTAACCACACCTTGTCTGTGGCAGTCTGTGTGACTGGCTGTATCAATGCCCTGTATATGTCCTCTGTGTGTGTGTGTGTCTCAGATACGTGCTCAGCTTCACTGCTGGCTGAGCCTGCAACTGGGAAAGTAACAGCTGAATCCCTCAGCTTGGGCAGAGACTCTGAATTCCTTGGGCTGGGATCCAGCAGCTGGGCAGGAGAGTTCTGACCATGGCTGCTGGAGGAGGCAGCTGTGCTCCTAACATCCCTTAACATTTTCATAGCCTTCACTCAATCTTGTTGTGTTGTGAGTACTCCTGAGATTACAGATATGTAACTCTTATGTGAAGGGTACTGATCCATTGCTCATGTGCCTACAGTGATAAATTTGTAACCAACTTTCTAGAGCTTCATGCAAGTACCCAAACAGGACCTGTGCTCATAAATCCTTGGGTTAATTGTATCAATTGGACTGAAAATATGTTTACAGAATATTAGAAGGACAATATGGTGTGTAAATGGCTCAAACTGCAGGACTGGTGACTGGGATTTGTAGTTTGGGGGATGAAAAGAGAGGCTTACCAGAGTCTGTACAAGACTTCCTGTAAGAAATCACCTTTACCTATCAAATTGATAATAATGTTGGCTATTAAGCCAGAGGAAACCTGAGAGAATCAGGCTAAGGCTGAGCTGTCTACAAACTGAATTTCCAAATTTGTGAATAATCAGGTAGAAAAGGGAAATGCACAGCTGAAAAGAAAGAGCCTCATCTTGCAAATATTTAAACCTGATAGAGCCAAATAGTAGACCCAAGTAGTACAGAGGAAATCATTGAATTGTAGAGGAACAAACATAACTGGACTCTGCCAATAATATACCTAGTGGAAATGTAAATCCCTCATTAGACAAATGCACTTCATCCTGCTTATAAAAAAGAGGTCGCTGGATGTGGGAACTCAGCACATCCCTCCGGATGTCCAGAGTTGCCGAGAACCCCGTTGGGGGGCTCAGAGACCCTGGCATGCTGCCCGGAACACCTGATGGCTTGATTTTGATCCTTCCAGAGAATTGCCAGCTTGGCATGGGGATGTGAAAGCCACACAGGTTTGAATGGTGTAATAACAAGGTGTTCACAGGGTGAAAAATGTAGATTTTAGGATTTTTGGTATAAGTGTTATGGGGACAAGATGGATGAATCAGGGCTTGTCTAGTCCTTCTTCTTTCTTCTTCTTGTTCTCCATTTTCTGCTGTGATGTTGGCACTTGGGGATTGGTTTAGAGTAGAAATGCACTGTCTAACATAGGTGATAGGTATTGGGAATTAAAAGTAAATATGATCTACGTAGTTTGTAGTATAAAAAGACGACACCGCCTCGGGGGCGGGGGAGAGTGCTTGTGGCTGCCATGCTGAGTGGACCTCGGCTGGGCAGAAAGAAAATCTTGTAGATAAGAAATAATAAACAACCTGAAGAACGAAAAAGTGAAGAGTCCAGACTCATTCTTCAGAGTGCAGGCTGTCGCAGAACCAT